GCTTGGATGACCCCAGCTCGTCGTCGGAATTTCTCGCCAGAGGATGACCGGCGTCTGTCGGGGAGATTCCACCCAGATCGTGCCCTCTTCGCATCGCCTCGCCGCGCAGTACGGGGGCGCCATGCGTTTACTCTGAGTCGCAGTGGACGACCCCCGCGCGTCGATGGGACCCCCTCGGGATGACCAGACCGCGTCGGCGGGGACTCCCCGCCCACTTTCGCGCGGCGCCGCCTGCGCGGTGCACTCTGCGTGGCTCGCCATCGGTTCGGAGGCAAACATGTTACCCCTCGCCTGTCGCTCGCTCTGCTGCCTTCGCTTCGTTTCTGCCCCACTTGCCTCTGACATCTGCGCGGTGTCTCCGTAACTTTTCCTGCGTGTTCCGTAACAGGTCTCAAGATGCGCTGATGCTGATGCGGTGGCTCGCCCCGCTTAGCCCCCCTCCTCCGCCAGCCACTTCCTGCCCGCGCTGCCCTGTGCTTCGTCCATGCAGTGGCGCGGTGCCTGTGAGAAGATGGGGCGTGCCTTGCGCTACTCGTAGCTTGCGTGCCCCCCTTCCCTCATCTCATATCCTGCGCGGTACTCGCAGCTGCATATGGTTGGGTCCTTCGCCAGGCTAATTTTCTCAGGGTGCTTAGGGTCCTTATGGTTCTTCCCGTACCTTCTTTAGGAGGGCCCGTTCCTTTCCTCAGGGTCCTTAGGGTCCTCAGGGTCCTTTTGCGTACCTTCTTTCGGGTCCTTCGGGTCCTTTCTTTTCCTTAGGGTATTTAAGTATGTAGGGTCCTCATTTTGCCTTCCTCGTCCAATCTCTAACTTCCGCGGTCGTCCATCGAGTTCAAACTACGGGGCCTTCGACCCGAGCTTTATCCAAGTAGCCCGGCCCGAGATCCCAGGGCCCCATGGAGCTCCAAGAAGTCCCCTGAGGGCCCCTGGGGGCCCCTGAGGTTTCAGAGATCTCGAAGGGCTCGGCCTCCGAGACGTTCACAAGATTAGCCTGGAGGGAGGGGGGGGGATAGGAAGGAGGAGGAGGAGCAGCAGGGCCAGGAGGAGCATGCGTGGTGATCGCACGCTCGTACAATGACCTGACGCATTGCACATGTCATCCCTCTGTGATGTCTGGCGAACAGCGAAGCCGCGTGTGCCAATCGGTGACAACCTCGGCATATCAATGGGTCCGGCACTGGACTGGAACATACGCTGAACGGCCATTATAAAACCTAGCTCCCTCGGGAGCAGCTGCTTGCGCAGCAAACCCCGCGTCTTGCACGCAGGTCCAAAATCATCGGAAGACTTGGCGAGGACCTTAGCAGCAGTGTTTCGATTAGCCTCGGATCCAAAGCGAACGAGTTGAAACCCTCAGTCTGTGACCAGTGACCCCATCCCCCACTCCTCCGCAGCACCTTCAACCTTCCCCGCGCAGATCGCCAAGTCAGACGGACAGACGGACACTCCCAAATGCCCGAGAGAGGCCTGAGCTTGGAAACATAGGCTGCTGCTGGCTGGTCCGGTGAACTGCCCAGGGACTTCATGGGAGATCGAAAGCCTCGCGCTTGGACTCCTGGATCCCATAACCGAGACATTGAAGCCCATGCGACTCGTCGCTGCTCGCTGGAGCGGCTGAGTCCAAGCACTGCCTAAGCGCCTAAGCGCCCAAGTGGGTGTGATACCCAAAATCGTATGTGAATATCAGCCCAATGACAGACAGCGGCATCGAATTGCCAACCTGCTCCTTCACGCGATGACTCTGCCTGGCCAAGCGAGCGCGGTTGAAGGAGCAGTACTGGCGCCCACGCAGCATGATACCATCGTCGATGATCCTCAAGACGTCGTCGGTCGGGAAGCCCTGCGCGTTCAAGCACTCGCTCGCGGTGAACCACCTCCGGCGGGGCGTGGACATGAAGGCCAGAGTTCTTGATCAGGGTACACAGCGTGTTCGGATTGCTCTTGTGAGAGTGCTTGTTGGAGTTCTGGTGGAGGAGGAAGGCCAGAAGGTGCCCCGTCATGCCGCGGTTGTGCTGGTACTCCTACCAGTTGTCGAGCTCCCACTGCGAGAGAGACTGCACGAACGCATCATCGACGTCGAGGCCTACTTTGAACCCAGTGGGCCACCTGGAGCTCGCGCGCTTTGGATTCGTCTCTCTGGCCGCCCACTTGAGTTCGTGGAGCTTCTCGTCGTCGGGCGCCAGGAGGAAAAACTGCCACGAGCAGGCCTCAGGCATCGCGAACAGCCTCACCACGTTGTCGAGCGAAGAAGCTCTCTGGAACACCAAGGACCTGTGAACCGTCACGCTCCAACTCCTTACCCTCGATTGCGGCAGCCCTCTCTCCGCGGCGTCAACCACCGTGCATTCCGTGACGTAATATGTGTTGAAGATATTGTCCAGGATGTTTCGGTCAAACGTCTTCGCATTCTCGTTGATGATGAAGGGCTCCTGCAGGATGACGGATAACTACCCACGCAGGCCCGCAATGTGGACCTTGCTCGACTTCATCTCGCACCGCCTGATGTGAACTTTGCAGTGCATGAACTTGCGGACTGCCTTCTTGGACATGATGAGCGGCTTGAGCTGGGCTTAGGGGATGCCGAAGCCTGCCGACAGCAAGGGGCAGATCCTCTGAGCCACGCTAGGTTCCCAAGCGTCGCTCAAGTCGGTGAAGATGCACTTCGGCGCATTGGGGTGGATCATCAACTCCTTCTGACATTCCTCGTCGCACTCTGCGGCGTGGATGTGCTCGACCTCTGGCACAGCGAAGCCGAGCTCCTCCGACAACTGTGCACGGAGCATCGCGAGGGCGCTGTCAGGGCGTCTATCCTTGAGCATGCGGTTGAGTATTTATTGACGAGCCAGTTCTCGAGGAAGAGCCTGGTGGCGCCTGTGCCCCTGAGCTGCCTGAGCAGACTGAGGTCCCTCTTCGGCCACTGGTGAATGTGCTTGAGGTCGTCGCGGATGATCTCCCCTCACGGCGTGAGAAGCGACGTTGGTGGCGGTGGCACCGGCGCCAGCTTGGTTGCCAGCGTTGGCGCAGGCGACTGCTGAGGCGGCGTCACGGCCGAGGCTGAACTCGTCGGAGACGTCGAAGTCGTCTCCGCCAGCCCGAGGCGACGCGCCGGCGTCCTGGAGCGCGGCCGCGACGGCGCGGCCGCGGAGCTGGCCGCGTCATCCTCGAGCGCCAGGGCTGACACAGGCGCAAGTAGATGGCCCGCAGCAGCACTGAGGAAGTAGTCCAGGCGCGATTGACCAGGCAGAACGCCAGAAAGGCCACTAGCCGCGCGTGCCTGGCTGGCTGGTTGGTCGAGACAGGCTGGCGGCCCGATGAGGCGGCCAGGGTTGATGGTCAGCAAGTTGCTGCTGTACTTTTTGATATGCTGCCATCCTCTGCAGTCAGGCGCGCTGCTCCACATCGGTTGGACGTCTGTCATCTCCCAACAGTAAAAGTTCTGAAGTGGCCCCAGGTACGCGTCGAGATCCGATTGAGACAACTGCATCTTCTGAAAGTCCTTCTGAACGACCGCCACGAGGTTGGCTTTCCATGCGATGTTTACGGGCTCCGAGAGCTTGCCACCACATGAGGCCAAGTACAGCTCCCCGAGGGTAGCGTTGTCATCCTTCCGAACATCATAGCACTTGGCAGGCCCATCATGGTCGAAACGTTCTAGGAGCGGACCCTGGATCTTCAAGATTCGCACCGTCCCCACGCCTGCCACTGCGGCTGCCGATGCCATTGCACCAAAAAGTTACCTGCAGTAGGCACAGTCAGCAGGACGTACAAATCCAGTCACCAGGCTCAAAGGCTGCGGTCAAGAGCACCGTTTGGGCGGAGAGTGGCGGAGAGAACGCAGTGCTTGGAGCGGGACAGGATGGTCTGGATACGTTGCACCCGCTTGTTTCGCCTGATACATCCTCTCACAACTTGACACCCCCAAGCGTGTTTTTGTAGACTCATTGCCAATGTTGGGTCTGGAACCAGTTGCCAAGCATGGGTCGTTTTGGGAACCAGTTGCCAAAAACGGGTGGTTTGGGGAAACCAGTTCCCAAAACGGGGCGGTGTTGGGAACCAGTTGCCGCAAATATGGGGGGACCAGTCGCGGGAGCGCAATAATAACAGCAACAACATCAGCATCAACAACAACATTAATCATTGTAATAGTGTTCGTTCTTACCTGCTCGCGGGCACGTGTATCCCAAAGCCTCGATACCCGACCTGTTCGTCTTCAATCGTGCCCCCATTGGGGGTATGTTTATTTTCTTCGTACCTGCAACGTGTATTCGTGTATAAGACATGGGAAGAGAGGATGGATGGAAGGAAGGGCCAAGGGGCAGGAAAGAGGAAGGAGCACCAGAGGGAATAGCAGGAGGGGGGTTAGGATCAGAAAACATGTGGCAAAAAACAGACAGACAGATCGGGCGGGTAGACCGTAACTCGCGGATCGGGAAAGCGGGCCCAGGCGGCCAGGTCGAGCAAGTGGGTTGCTGACGCGTGCGTTTTGCATGAATCCCGAGGGGATCTCAAGCGATAGCGCGATTCCAACATGAATCGTCAGGAAATCCTCAGCGAGAGCGTGATTCCTGAGTGTCGAGGACGCGGCGTCTGAATAAATGGGCGAGAGCGCGATTCCCACATATCTATAGAGAGAGAGAGAGGACGTCCCGCGCGAGAGCGCGATTTGGGAATAAGCAGTGAGGAAGTATGAGGTGGGCGCCGTTGTTGTTGTTGTTGTATATCGGGTTCCAAGGGCCCAGTTAGGTGGCACCTGGCTTCCCCTTCTAAAAAGACTGGGTGCGAGCCCCAGGCGGATTACATTAATGGAACAACACATAAGGATTAATAATTTCCGGAGGGGGGACCAACACTATTGATTTTTACATTTGAAAGTCCAACAACGACCATCACAACAACAGCAACACCAACAACAACAGCAGCAGCAACAACAACAGCAACACCACGACCACCACCACCACCAACAACAACACTACCACCAACAACATCAACACCAGCAACAGCAACAACAGCAGTAGCAACAACAACATGTTCTAAAAAGAGGACGATGCCGCCAGCATCCGCGACCGGCTGGTCTCGGCGGTGGCTTTCGCGGCCGAGGCTCGCCATGAATGAAGCGGGTCCTGACGGCAGCGGCTCGTAGATTTCTGCTCCGACCTGGTTTTCGTAGGCCCTCCAGTAGCCCCGGGACCGTCGGAAAACGATTCAGGGTTAAGAGCCGGTGCTGGCGGACGGGCCCCGGGGTCCAGGATCCGTTTCAGTCAGGACCGTTTCTTTGTCGTGCCAAGAGGCGCTGGGCGTCGAGGGTCAGCCGCTGGCGCTGCTGTTCTCCAGCGTGGAGATGAGGGCAGGAAAAGGCACCTATACTATGACCCCTGCCACAGTTTCGCCTTTTGGGGGGCCTCCTGGGACGCCCTCGTTATGGCTGGATTCTCCTGGATACTCCGGTCAGAACGCACCCCTGGAGAAGTCCTGGGAGGAGCGGTCGGAGCCAGAAGCATGCCCATTATATTACGTCATCTTTGTTTACGACTTAGTGGGACATGGCGGCCCAATTGCAATGTATACATCTATACATATTCACATAGACATAGATGTATGCCTGTACACACTTGTCGCCTGGAGAGCCGGCGGTGCAAATGTTACACTACACGTTGTCCGATGACGTTTCTGCGAAGCCCCATGGGACAGGGCCACAACACCTTCGTTCTAGGCCTCCCGCGTGGGGTCCGAGTAGATGGTGTCGAAATCCCGCCGCCTTCTGAGAAGGCCTTCTCCCTCTCACTCCCCCCCGCGCTCGCCGCAGATACCAGTGCCTGGACGCACGGCTCCCGAGCGGTGACGGCACCTCCCGGGTCCCCCAGGAAGGCCCCGGGGAGGCATCGGCGTGGAGCCCGTGTGTGGCCTGGGCCCGCCGTGGCCAGAGACGCCCACTGGCTCTGGAAAGCGCGGCTCTCGTGGCTGCACGACGACTGCGGTGCATCGGAGGCGACGATAGGGGCGATTCCAGGGGAGCGAGAAGTGACGTAAGCATAAAAACTCGGAGGTCCGCGCAGATTTCTCGGATCGGCGCTGGGGCGCCCCGGCGGCGCCTCCGGCGCCGCCCCTGGCACGCTCCGCGCGCCAGGGAGGGGGGTCCAGCGCCGATCCGAGAAATCCGCGCGGACCTCCGAGTTTTTATGTTTATGTCACTTTTCCTTCCCCTAGGATAGCCCAGGGGGGAGCCATACATGTATCCAGCGGTGCCGATGATCGATGTCTTCGACAAGGCTCCCGGGCGAATGCGTGTAATGCCTGGGCTATTCGCCCCTACAGTCGCCGCCGAGTGTGTATACGCACGGGTCCCAAGCGGTGCTGGTACCTCCTGGCTTCCGCAGGAGAGCCCCGGAGAGGCACCGTCGAAGGAGGGGGCCGCCGAGGCCTACTCTGGGTGCTGCCGCGGCGCCTCCATCGACCCCCTGGTGCCCCTGGCGGCCCTCCTCGCGGAGACGCTGCGCCGCGGGGGCTGCAGCGCTACGCTGCGCTCCGCCCTGATGGACGCGGCCGCGGCGGTGGCTCCGCCCGAGGTCGCGGGCCGGCGCTTCCTGGGCATGATGGAGAGGCGGCTGATCCGCGCCACGGGCGTGGCCGGGACTCTGGCTCCCGAGGCCCTCAGATGATGCCAAGTCCGTGCAGACGGAGCCCACACGGAGTGCTCGGTAGCCGTCTGGGTTTACTCCGTCCGGAAATCCAGCTTCCGAGTAGGATGCTAAATCTGTGCGGAGTACGTCCGCACGGAGTGCTCGGCCTCCGTCTTCGCTTCGTCTGTCTGGATTTGGCCTGTCCTGAAGGTCCCGGCGCCCATGTCAGAGTGCCCGAGCTCCACGGAGCGGGCGGCGGCGGCCCGCGCGTGGCACGAGGGTGAGTTGCCTGTTGGTGGGCTGGCCCCGGCGGCGACGGCGCGACGGGCGCAGGCGCAGAGCTTCCTGCCCACGGTGGACTGGTCGAGGCTGCTCGGGAGGGACGGGCGGGAACCGCACCCGAGCGACAAAACGCAGCTGCTTCCAGGCTGCCAGGCCCCACTGTACGGCGGTACTGTTGGCTTCGGCGTGCTTTCGGGGATATTGGGGAGCGCGTCCGCATACTTCACCGCCATTGCAGTCAAGGGTTTGGACGAAAATGTGTTGTGCAACCCAGACTATCACAAGTTCATCCCGCCCATGAAGCCCGTCTGCCATGCGGTGATGCGGAGCGATCTGGACGAGATGATCGGTACCTACATCGGCTCTTCTCAGGGTGCGCTAACGTTCTTCGTCGCCTGGGGTCTCTACATGGGATGGGAAGCTCACTCGCGCCTCTCCCTGCGTTACCAGGTCATTCGCGAGCTGGCGCTGGAGCCCATGGGCCCCCCAACCTCGCAGCTGGCCGTTGTGTGTGCCAGTGGCTTCCTCACGAGCCAGGCCGACGTCTTCTTGCCCTGGGAGGTGGACTCGGACAACCCATGGACAGAAGGGCAGGTCTTCGCCGTGCGGTTCGACACCCCGGTGTTGCTGCGCCTTGGCACGCACCTCGTGGGACTGCTCTCGAGGGTTGCGAACCAGGCGATGGTGGCCGCGCAGGTGGCGCTGGCCGTGTCCACCCCCCCGACCCTGTGCCAGACGCTCCTGTACTCCCTGGTCACGGAGCTCGACGACGTTTTCGACCTGGCCATCAAGCGGGCGGAGCTCCGGGGAGGAATGGGCACCGATGCCGCTGCCCTTCTGTCGCCACCACGGCTGGCGGCCCGACGCCCTGGTCGGAGCGCACCCCCGGGAGAGGCCCGCTCGAGAGAGGCGGCATGGGCACCTCTTTACCCTGCCCGTCGTCGTCGTCGTCGTCTTCTTCGTCGTCGTCGTCGTCTTCGTCGTCGTCTTCGTCGTCGGCGTCGTCATACTCCCTGCCTCCTGCACAGGAGCAGGCTGGGCGCGCGCTGGCCCAGCAGCTGGTCGTGCCCGTGCCGGCCCGGCCTGGCCCCCCACGGCCGGCCACCCTGGTCGCCGGCCGGTGCGAGATCATGCGCACGCGCCGATGTTTGCCGGGCCCATCCTGGGCCCAGTCTCGGTGCACATGCCTCCCTGACCGAGCCAGGAGGGCGGCATGCCCCGAGCCTGGGCCCCGGATGGGCCTGGCCAGGATCGGTGCACGTGCATCCGTGTTTTTTTTCGCCAGGGCGGCCCAACGTACCGACACTGCTGCGCACCCCGTTCCGATCGGGCGAATCCCGCCGTGGCGACGAGAGCCTCCCAGGAGGCCCCAGGAGGCCCAGACGAAGCAAAGGTAGGGGGATCGGTACCCTCTCCTCGGAGGTCGGCTACTCCGTCGGCGCCGTGTTGGTGCACGCGTGCCTGCGCGAGCTGCGCCGCCTCGCGGACTCGGGACCTGGGCCTCCCGGACGGGGATCGGAGCAGATGGGGTCGGAGGACTGCGCCGCACCGCCAGCGCATCGGCGATGCGGCTCGATGAGCTGGAGCCCGATCTTCCCTGCACCGACGTCGCCGATGCATCGTCGACGCATCGGCGGTGCATCGGCGACGTCGGCGTGGTGAAATCGAGCTCCACATCGAGCCGCGTCGCCGATGCATCGACGATGCTGGGCCCCTGGGCCGCGCCCCCGCGGATGCGGGGCGTTTCTCCGCTGGTGCCCCGCGCAGAACGTCTCCGCGCGCTTGCGCACTCGCGGGCGCGGGAACGGCGCCCTTGAATCCAGACCGTGAGGGGGCGGATACGGCCATGTTCGCCGTTGGCACGCCTGCTCGATGCCCTGGATGCCCCCGAAGAGGATCAGCGTCACGTGAGCCGTCGACTCATTCTGCAGTCCGTCAGGGTCTGGCCTTCTGTGTCGCATCAGTGTCGAATGCGTGTCGAACGCGTCGAGCCGCAGGGGCGCGATCCTCCGACCCCATGTGCTCCGACCCCATCTGGGAGGCCTCCAGGCGAGGCGCCTCACGCGGCCGACGTCGTCTGCGACGTGGTGCTCATCGGCGCGCCCATCGCTGGCGGCACGGCCGCGGAGTGGGCCGCGCTGCGGCAGCTCGCCAGCGGCCGCTTCGTCAACGGCTTTCTTCCCACCGACCAGGAGTTTTGAGGCTTCTGATTTCGAGTCGACTCGACTTCGGATTCCGATTTGGACTCCGATTTCTCAACTCAGGCCTTGCTAATTATCATGCCGATTTCTGCCGATTCGACTTCTTCCAACTCGGCTGCCGATTTCCGTCGATTCAACTCATTTCGACCGCCGATCCGACTTGTCGGTTCGATTCTGGACTCCCCTGTCCCTTGCACCCAAATCGCCCGCGCACATGCCTCGCATCAGTGGTTGCTACCTCGTGTTGGAGCTGCCTGGGAGTTTGAGATGGCCCAGAACTTGTTCTGACCAGAAAGAGGGGTGGGGCAGGTTCGAGGTTCCGGCCCCGTCTTCAGGCCCCAGGATTGTCGAGAACGGATCCAGGGCGAAACATTGCACCTGAAGGACCCCTGGAGGGGTCTAGAGACTGACTTTGAGCGGACCACCGACCATGAGTTCCGAGATTGGTACCTCCGCGGGGCATTCACGTCGAGATTCGAACCTTTAACCTCGAGGCTCGAGGTTCGAGGCGTCTTAGCCCTCGGAGACCCTAATTGTCGCCACCGCTGGACGTAGCTCAAAAAATTAGTACGTTTGTCCCCCGGGAGGGATCATGGGATCCATTTCTGATTGGGCTTTGGTCAGCTAGCCGAGGTGCCGATACCTTGCTGTGATCGGCGCGGGGGGTGCTAAGGGGATAGAGGGGTTTGTCAATGGATGCCAAGGTGGTTTGCAACGCTATATCTGGCCTAACCTAGTTCATACTAGGTTACAAATGCCCCAAGCGGCTTGAGGGGGGCGATCCAGGCTAAATGGGCTGCGCCCACGTAGCGGATTGATCAAACCACATTAAAGCCACTTGGGCCAGTTGTACGCCACTTACTGGCTAGGTCAGGCAGATATCACCCACCTTTGCATCCACTGATAGCCCCCCCTATCCCCTTAGCAGCGCCCGCGGTCATTCAAGTAAGATCTTTGCATCGCAATTTCTTCGCAATGGGCGTTTTCCTCTGATTTCGGGGCCCTGGGCCGGTCGATCCGGCCGGAAAACTGTCGCAGGAAGTGAAAGACTGGTTTTGGCAATGAATTGTCGCGATGCTACATATCTTATGACGTCGGATCTCAGGATTCCGCTACTCCAGATTTCGTAATAAAAGGGAGGGGGTCTCATTTCGGGGGGGGGTCTCTTCCAGGCTATCTTGGAGGGCCTGGGGGGGGGTCTGGGGACGATGTTTTGGAGGGTTCTCCCACGGGGGAGGGTCTGAAATGGCTTGTCTTGGAGGGTCCAGACCCCCTTACCTTTTACTACGAAGTCTGGAGTAATCAACTTCTCAGCATCCCCAACCCCCTCCCGGGGTCCTCCCCGCGGACCGCTCCTTCCGCCGGCCCAGGGGCCTCGGGCGCGGCTGGGGCGCCCTCTGGCCACCAGTTCCGTCCCACCAGCGACGCTCGCTTCGGGTGCTGGGCTTCTGGCAACCGCTGGGCCCTCTCAGAGGCCTCCCTCGGAGCCTCCAAGGCCTGCTTTCTCGGGCCCCCTCCCTTTTACTACGAAATCTGGAGTACATATCTTATGACGTCGGATCTCAGGATCCCGCGACCCCTGCCGCGTTTTAGTTTAGCAACCTCTTGCGTGGCCTTCGTCGCCACGGCCGGGTTCGCCCCGAGATCCTAAGAGAAAAGGTCCAGGGAGCCTCCCTATCGGTACTCCAGATTTCGTAACAAAAGGGAGGGGGTCTCAACCCTCCCAGACGAGAAGTTTTAGACCCCCCCCCTGGGAGAACCCTCCAAAACATAGTCCCCAGACCCCCCCAGGCCCTCCAAGATAGCCTGGAAGAGACCCCCCCCGAAATGAGACCCCTCTCCCTTTATTACGAAATCTGGAGTATCTTCCATGCCTCCAGAAGTAAATACCGGTATCGCTACCCTTGCGTCGTGTTCGCCTTGCTGAGGCCTCCTGGGTGGCCCTCCCAGCCACAGCCCGATTCGCCCCGAGATTCTACTCCGAACGCACCTTGGGAGAGGTCCAGGAAGCATCGGTATCGGCAGCTTTTCGTGCCTCCAGAACTAGGTGCCGATATCGCTACCCTTGCGTCGTTTTCGCCTCTTTGGGGCCTCCAGGGTGGCCCTCGTCGCCACGGCCGGATTCGCCCCGAAATCCTGGTCGGAACGCACCCTGTGAGGGATCCGCGGAGCATCGGCATCGGTAGGTTTTTGGTTCCCGCCCAGGAGCTCCGCGGTCATGCCCAGAGGCGCTTCTCCGCGCCCTACGCCGGCTACAGGCCCCTCTCGAGCGTGCCCGGGGTAGAGAACGTCGTGCTCTCGGAGCTAGCATGGCACCAAGCGCGGCTCCGAGCGTAACCGTGTCGGAGGTTCGCGCGAGATCTCTTGGGTCGGCGTTGTCCCCCCCTCCTCCTCCTCACAAGCTGACAGCTAGCACCGATACCTATGCGACCCCGTTGGGGCTATGGACGTATGTTGTCGGATGGAGATCCCCGCTCGAACGGGAGTACCCCTCGGGTTCGGACAACCCGTACCCATGTCTATGGCGCCTTCATTTCCTGTCCCTTCCCAATCCTCCTCCCTATTGGTCTAAGTCTGCGTTTTTTCCCAACCATCCTGTGGTGTTGGGTCCTCGTTTTGAAGAGACGGTGCCCGCGTCCTCTCCTCTCCTCCTCTTCCCCCTCCTCCCTCCTCCCCCTCCTTGCCTCTGCTCTCGGCACACCTCTCACGCGTTTCGTAGCCCCATAGGGAGCTCCACCGAAGGCCCCAGTGGGGGTGTTCGCATGCGGTTCCCCCACCCAGGGCAGCGTTTCGTGGCCCCATAGGGAGCTCCACCGAAGGCCCCAGTGGGGGTGTTCGCATGCGGTTCCCCCACCCAGGGCAGCGTTTCGTGGCCCCATAGGGAGCTCCACCGAAGGCCCCAGTGGGGGTGTTCGCATGCGGTTCCCCCACCCAGGGCAGCGTTTCGTAGCCCCATAGGGAGCTCCACCGAAGGCCCCAGTGGGGGTGTTCGCATGCGGTTCCCCCACCCAGGGCAGCGTTTCGTGGCCCCATAGGGAGCTCCACCGAAGGCCCCAGTGGGGGTGTTCGCATGCGGTTCCCCCACCCAGGGCAGCGTTTCGTAGCCCCATAGGGAGCTCCACCGAAGGCCCCAGTGGGGGTGTTCGCATGCGGTTCCCCCACCCAGGGCAGCGTTTCGTAGCCCCATAGGGAGCTCCACCGAAGGCCCCAGTGGGGGTGTTCGCATGCGGTTCCCCCACCCAGGGCAGCGTTTCGTGGCCCCATAGGGAGCTCCACCGAAGGCCCCAGTGGGGGTGTTCGCATGCGGTTCCCCCACCCAGGGCAGCGTTTCGTAGCCCCATAGGGAGCTCCACCGAAGGCCCCAGTGGGGGTGTTCGCATGCGGTTCCCACCCAGGGCAGCGTTTCGTGGCCCCATGGGGAGCTCCACCGAAAGCCCCCGTGGCGCAGTTCGCATGCGCTTCCCCCACCCAGGGCAGCGTTTCGTGGCACCATAGGGAGCTCCACCGAAGGCCCCAGTGGCGCAGTTCGCATGCGGTTCCCCCACCCAGGGCAGCGTTTCGTGGCCCCATAGGGAGCTCCACCGAAGGCCCCAGTGGGGGTGTTCGCATGCGGTTCCCCCACCCAGGGCAGCGTTTCGTGGCCCCATAGGGAGCTCCACCGAAGGCCCCAGTGGGGGTGTTCGCATGCGGTTCCCCCACCCAGGGCAGCGTTTCGTGGCCCCATAGGGAGCTCCACCGGAGGCCCCAGTGGCTGCCCTCGCATGCGGTTCCCCCACCCAGGGCAGCGCTTCGTGGCCCCATGGGGAGCTCCACCGAAAGCCCCCGTGGCGCAGTTCGCATGCGCTTCCCCCACCCAGGGCAGCGTTTCGTGGCACCATAGGGAGCTCCACCGAAGGCCCCAGTGGCGCAGTTCGCATGCGGTTCCCCCACCCAGGGCAGCGTTTCGTAGCCCCATAGGGAGCTCCACCGAAGGCCCGCCCCGGTGGCGCAGTCCGCATGCGGTTCCCCCTATCCAAGGCAGCGCTTCGTGGCCCCATATGGAGCCCCACCGAAAGCGGCACCCACAACGCGTTACCAACAATTGCTTATGGTTGGGTCTTTCGCCAGGATAATTCAACCAGCACCCCCCTGTTGCGCTTCGCGCGCCAGGCTCTTCAGCGATGCCCAGCGCCCACAAGGGAGGTGCGTGCGGACCTCTCCAGGCGCTCCACGCCTCGGCCGTCTTTCCCAGACCCTCGACGTCGCGACTCCTGTCGCAACGTTGACCCCCAGATCGAGGCCTCGACCCATTCCCCGAGGCGGGTTTTTCGCCCCTGTTGCGGAGAACGTAGCAAGGTCAGCGCGAACGGGGGTCAGGCAAGCCCCTCCGGTCTCCTCGGGCTGACCAGGGTCTGGGGGCCACGCCGAGCCGATCCCGCCACCCCCTCTCTCCGAGCGTGAATTACCTACCCCGCTTTCGCTTCCAGGCAAAACCAAGCCATACCACGCGCCTCCTCGTCAAGCGGCCTGACCAGTACAGGCTGCAATTTGGCATCGTTTGGTATCTCTTGGAAGCGAGGGTGGTCAAAAGCGAGGTAGGTTTGTTTTCCCCATATTTACGGCTGGTCAGCGGTCACGACGTGGCCGTGGTTGACCCGGGTTAGTGTTGATTCCGGTCAGTCCGTCCCCGACTTTGGATTTTGAGCCGTGTTTTGAGCATTCCGGGGCCCAGCGAGGGCCCCCTGGGCCGAAGATAGCAAACACCTGTCCGTCGTAATTTCTGTCACGCAACAAGGGGTTTTGGTTGCAGTGCCTCTCGCAGGAGTTTGTGAGCACCCACCTCGAGTACGCCCGGCAGACGCCGGTCATCCTGTCGCGCCTGCTCCAGGGCTGAACAAGGCTGCGCCGCATGAGTGCCTCGCGGGCGCGGGCCTTCTCCCGGCGCCAGCGCAGGCGGTGTGCGGCGAGGCCGCCGTGGCCACAACGAGCCGCGGTGGTGACTCTGCCGTGCCAGCTGGTGCCCAGCGAGCGACCACCTGTTCCAGCGAGCAGCAGGGAACAAGCAGGCGGCACACGCATAATGAGAGCCTTCGGAGGTCCGCGCGGACTTCTTAAGTCGGTGCTGGACCCACCCCTGGGTGCCCCCCTGGCGCCGCCCTCTGGCGCGCTCCCTGCCCCAGGAGGGCGTACCCAGCGCCGGCCCAAGGACGTCCCGGCGCGCCTCCGAACGTTGAAGGTTGTGCCGCCGTTGCTCTTCTGGAGCAGGCAGGCCCTAGTGGGCCGGACGAGGACGTCATCGGTATCTCGACGAAGGAACAATTCAGCGACGCAAAAAGACGGGGTCGTCTGCGCCGACATTGGCGCGTGAGCTGCCCGCGTAAGGTCGCGCGCAAGCGCCCTCGCTTCAATCTTAGCGTGCCGCGCTGGCGGCCCGCGTAAGCTACCGCGTAAGATCGCTGTGTCATCTCGCGTGAGACCCGTTTTTGATCGTCGCTGAACTGCTCGATCATAGTTAAACGTTCCAAGTTCCCAGCGGACTTCTTGGATCGGCTCTGGGCCCCCCCTTGGCGCGCTCCGTGCGCCAGGGAGGGGGGTCCAGCGCGGATCCAAGAAATCCGCGCGGGCCTCCGAAAGTTTACTGTTATGAAATTTGTTGTTCCCCTACTACGGCCAGCACGAGGTATGAGGTCGAGGTCGGTTCGGGGAGGGTGCCCTGATGTTCTTCGTGTCTGTTGGGTGTTCGTGTGCGTCCTGGGGAGGGTACCCTTGGCTGTTCTGTGTGTTTTGGCCGGTGGAGGGTCTCATGTTCCTGAAAAGCTCTTCTGCCCCAGGTCCGAGCGTCCCCTCCGGCGTCGCAGCAGAATGGCCTCTCTCTCGGCGGCTGGCTGCTCAGCGCCTCCTTGCCTTCTGGGGGAGGATGAGCGCTGCCTGGGCCGGTCAGAACATGACTCGGGGCGAACGGCCCAAAGCCCTGGGGGGGAAGTAGTCCAGACCTCCCGGGTCTCGGGCCGACGGTCACGACGGGGAGCAACGATCTCTCGAGGGGGGGGAATCCAGGATTGCAGGGAGGCGGCCCGAAAGGGGCCCTATAAAACGGCCCCTGAGCGCTGCCATCGCGGGCCCACACGGGGTTCACGTATGGCGCGCATGTCTGCCCCTCCCCCCCCACGTTTGTTGCCCTCCCGTTCACGAACATCCGAGGGTTGTTCCCTCTCTCTCTCTCTCGTGTTGTTTTTCTCTCTCTCTCTCTCTCTTTCTCTGTGTTCGCGCCGCCTCCTCCCCATCCACCCGCTCCTGCTTCTCCCTTTTCACTCCTCCGAGTCCTCTTCTCCATCCTCCCTCCCTCCTCCACTCCCTCCCCGTCCCTGCTCCCTGCTCCCTGCTAATCCTTTTTGTTCCTCTCACATCCTAGCCTGCGCGCCCTCTGCCGTTCTACTACCCTCTTGCATTGGCAACCTGAGTAATCCCCACGGGCTTATCCAGAAACGATTCGTGGGATAGCTGTCGTGCGTGGGATGGGAAGCCAGATGGGACGTGCAGCCGAGGAGCGGGGCACAGTCAGACGGTGTTTGGGATCAACCCAAGTATCACCCACTATGGACAGTTGGATGTCCTATGGTTTGACGCCTTTTTGGGGCAACCGTGGCTCTCTTGGGGCCCTTCAGGAAGCCCTTAGGATAATTCTCGGGCTCATTTGCGGCTCTTTTGGGGTACGGTTCAGTCCCTCGTGGGGCCTTCTTGTAAGCAACCTTTGAAAAAGGGGGGTACTACTCCCTTGGAACCCGAATAATTGCCTGCTGCCCCCTCTCACACTATCTAGGGGCTCTCGTTGGGGTCTTTGCGGCCGTATTAGAGCATCTTGGGGCCATCGCGAGGCCCCAGCGGCCCATGGGAAGTCGAGACCGCGAGCGTTCGAAGCTCATCAGGGGTCTGTGACCTTGGTTCCCGTGACCAGTATCTGTGCGTCGGACTTTTCGCCGTCGTCGCCGTCGCTGCCGCGTGCCCCCCCCCTCCCAACGGCTCTGCGTGTCGCAGGTCGCCAGCCGCCGCCGCCGACGCCCGTTCGTGGGGCCGTGGGCAGGCATTACCCTGCTGGCTCTCTGTGTCGCACGTCGCCGCTGCTGCCCGCGCGTGGAGCCCAGGGCACACCGCCACACTTCGCGCCCCCCACTGGCCGTGGGCCTCGCACGCGGTCGCCGGCAAGAGAGCGACGAAGAGGAAAGGGTTCGTTTGCTCGGGCAGTCGTGCGTAAGCTTCCCGCGTAAGGTCGCGCGTGAGCCCCCTCGTCTCCGCGCGGTGCGCCAAGCGGGCGCCCCGCGCAAGCCGCGGCGTAGGGTCGCTATGCCACCGGGCGTGAGGCCCGTTTCTCTTCGTCGCTCGGGTGTGGCCTCGGGCCTCCCCCCCACGCTTCGCACCGCCCTGTCGCCGCCGTCGCGGGCGCGCGGGCCCCTGGGCATGCCGCCCGCTGTCCCCGTGTTTGCCGCACGTGCCAGCGGTCGGAGCCTTGTGGGGCCCACGGCATTGTGACGCACCTCGATGGCACGGCGTAGACTGGGTCTGCATTCCGTCGACCGCACGTCGTAGACTGCATCGCGAGGACTGCACCGCACGAATCGGATGCAGTGAGTTACCTTTTGGGGTCCGCGCCCTGACATTCGTTTTACATGGGTTGCTCGGGGGGTCTCTGGTCGATCTCGATGGGGGGGGTCGGGAGTTACATGCCAGCCATCTTGAACCTTCTTGGGGCATTGAGGCACGTAACTGGCCATGTAGGCAAACTTGGACCGTGTTGGGAGGCCGTCTTGGGGTATTGCCATCTTGCGCCTGTCTGTGAGCCATCTTGGGTGCTCCAGCTGCAGGAGCAGCTTCTCGGAGGGCAGGCGGTTGTTATGCCCCTCTCCGTCTCGCTCCCTCCCACTCTCTCCCACTCTCTCCCACTCCCTCCCTGTAGGATGCAGACCCTGGAATGGCTGGGCTAATCTGGCATAGTGGATCTTTGACCCGGCTTCGCAGCCTTCGTATTTTTGTCTCACGATGACTTCCCAGGAGTTGCCTCCTGACTCTCCTTCTCGCCCCCTCCCACTCCCTCCCGCTCCAGTCCTCCCTCCCGCCCCAGGCACGCTTTGGGGAAAGTTGTCAGACAACAGTGTTTGGTGACATGCGCCGGAATCCCTCATCACTCCCCATGACTCCTCCCTCCCCCCATGGTGCCTCCCTCACAATTCCGCCCTTCTCCCCCGATCCCTCCCTCCTCCCCTTGCCCAGACCACCGACGTCGTTATTGTCGCGAACGCGGAACCCCACCGGTTTCGACCTCCCTAGGACTAGCATTCCATCCCGAGTCGTTGTTTGACTGCCTCCCCACTGGAACCACGACCCTTCCTCCCTCCTCCCCCCACCCCTCCCTCCTCCCCTTCCTCGGGCCACCGACGTCGATTTCCGCGGACGTGTAGCCCCACAGGTTTCGACCTCCATAGGAACAGCATTCCGTCCCGAGTCTTTGTTTGACGGCCTCCCCGCTGGAACCAAGCAAATCACCAAAAATCTTCCGTTGCGACTTTCGTTCACGACGCTAGAGGGCCTGGACTCTAGCTTCTACCCCTCTTGGAGGAGACCCACATCGACCAACATCGGTCCCTGGACCCTTAGTGAGATCCAGCTGGGCCAGTTTTCCATCCTGGATTGGTCTTTGGCGATTCCAGTGCCTGAAACCAGCCTGCGAACGTCGAACGTACATCACGAAGCCGAGAACAGATTGGAACCTCGAACCTGTCCGCGACACGGAGGAGCCTGACCCCCCACCCCTTCAGAAGTCGACCCCTGAGCCTCTCTACATAGGAGCGTCTTGGCCAAACTCTCAGGGCGACCCAGCCGTGGCGAGGCGGAGCCCTTGCGAAGAGCAGAGGAGGGGCAGGCATGGGCAACGCCAGACGGCCATCCGCTGAGGAGGGATGCATCGGCCCCCCATCGTCGATTGATCGCCGATAGGGGCCCGATAGCCCACCCCACCCAGGAATGTGCGGTTTCACTGTCGGGGGCTCGTCGGCAATGTATTGCCGATGCCAGCCCGATGCTCTCCCCCCCCTGGGCCAGTCCTCCCCTGGGCCGTTACCCCTCCGGCAAGAGCACCCCGAGGCCGTCCAGACATCCGATGTCTTGACTTTGTGCCGTGCGGGGCCCCCTGAAAGTCCCCACCCTTCCCCCAGGGGCGTATCTTCCTCACGAGTTTTGGGGCCCCGCGAGGGCTCCCCAACACCGAAATTTACCCAAGAGCTTTCCGTCGCCTCAGTCGCGATGCTTCCACGGCGCGAAGACGTCCAGGCCCGAGGGCGGCGAGGAGCTCGAGCCCAGATGGAGGCCTCCCCGCCTTGCGGCGGCGGCGCAGCGGCGTGGCCCCGGCGGCGCGCGCCAGGTGCTGCCCCCGAAGCAGCCGGGGCAGAAGGCCTGCGCGATGGTGCGGTTCAGCAGCGTGGACGAGGCGACGCACGGGGGGCGCGAGCAGAGGGCTGAGCCAGGGGTGGGGGCAGCTCTGGGGTGGCGGCGTCGGGGAGGTCGTCGTCGTCGTCGTCGTCGTCGTCGTCGTCGTCGTCGTCGTGGTGGCCGCCTTCTCCGTCATGGCGGTCTCGCCGAAGGCTTCTGGGCGTTGAGAGGGCGAAGAGTCGAGCCCTCCGCCGCGAAGAGGCGGGTGGGCTGGACGGGGAGGGGGAGGGGGAAGTCGGGCGCCGAGAGAGCGCTCACCCAGACAAGTCGACCGAGGAAGTCTGCACTGGTTCATTCGACAATGGCATTCGAGTGTGCTGGTGCTGTCCCCCGTCGGTTTCGCTAGTCGACGTGCGTCTCGCTGGATGCATTCGGCTGTTTTTGGCCGTCGGTCAGCTACCCCGCTGGGGTCCACTTTGGCTCAAGCCATTTTGGCTCAAGTTCAAGTGAAATATGCACCTGGCTGTTTATATCCGATACGGTCCGCTGAACAAATCTTCTTACATCCTCCTTCCACCCCAAACCACATTAAATCCAGATGTCTTCTCCACCTGAGTGGTGGGCTTGTGCTTCTTAGGACATGTTGAGCAAGCAGTCTG